CCCCCCCTACACCACCCCCAGTGAAATCCTGGCACCCAGAGCACACTCTTTTCAGCCAGAGCCCAGAACCAGACGTTGTCCCCTGGCAAGAGAGGTCCAGTGCTGGGCCCTGGGCAAGTGTCCCCAGACATCTCACCCTTCCTCCCTTCATTAGCCTCTTCTCCCAACAGAAACCATTTCCTTTGCCACTCAAACTAGGTTGCATCCAAAAGTTTCTCACAAGCTTAAAAAAGAAAAATGAAAAATTGACAGCATTAAACAGAAGAATTCACAAAAGATGCAGCAGAACCAGGGCAAAGCAGCGACAGACCCAGGTAAGACCCCAAGAGAGGCCAAGGCCACAGAGCCTCCCAGGCCCACCCCCAGAGGCTCAGCTCTTTCAGGCGTCTCCTGTTTGTGTTTGTACAGTGCTTTATGGCTGGGTACACTGTGATGGCCATGGAGGAGTCTTAGTTTGGGGTTTTGATTTGTTTCCAAGATAAAGGAAAATGCAAAAATAGTAATGGTGAGGTGAGGAGGACCAAAAGGGATGAAGAATGAGCAGCAGATGCCCAGGAAGGGAGGGCTTAGAGATGCTGAGTTAATGTAAGGCTTTGACCCTCATACCTTGGAGCCAGGGGCAGGATGCTAACCCTGCATGGCCCCCAACCACTGCTGCTGGTCCAGTGCTTGGGTCACTGTAGGCCTGGCCAGGAAGAACTCTGGGACATACTCTGTTACTGGTAGATCTGGGTGCCTGGGACCTCTGGTCTCTCTGGTCACTCTCAGCCGTGTCAGCCCCCTTTGATTTGAAAAACACCAATCTTTTCAAGTCCAAATGGAAGGATGGGGAATTGGAAAGCACATCCATTTTATAAACTTTCCCTTTTATCTGTGTCATAGCATTAAAAGTGGGTTTCAAGTATCTGGAAAATATCTGATACTGTCAAAATGGGCCAAACACCCATTGTGAAGGTACTTGCTTCTGTACACCCTCTGCTCTCCTGTTCTTGCACTGAAAAGCACTGGTATGACAGGCCACCTACATTAACCCCAAACCTGCCTGAGAGCTGGGAAGAAGTGAATTGTTCCTTCGGCAACAGGGAAAATCTGTTGTCACTGTTAATGATCTCCTCTAGACTGCTGATACTCTGCCACCTCATGGGAGGGAGGTGTCTTTTCTAACAGAAAGTTTATTGATTTCTAAAAGGAAAGTCCAGGGCTTCCAAAACCCAATTGTATATTAAAAAATAAACACTGCCACCCAGTTCGAGCCTTTCACTGCTCTCTAGAAAGGAGTTTGGCATCTCAGATCTCTCCTGATACTGTTTTTCTTTTGCCCTTTTTCTTTCTAAAGAAACTGTAGGGACAGGTTGCAAAGCCTAGGCAATTTCTTGGAAGGGTTCTGAGACCTTAGTAAAGCTCATTTTCAATGTACTCGATGACTTTTATTTTCTACTTCTTGCATGTGATTTGCAGGGAGATTCAACAATCCCACACACCCTAGCTGCTTGGTCAGTATCAATGTTTAAAAACTAAGTACAAAAGAGACAGGTGACCTTCTGACCCCAGGGAAACAAGCTTGCAGAACTGCAAGTGTCTCTTATGTCAAAACCAGGGACCCTCCAATTTCTTCCAGGTGGAAAACATAGATTTATATCCAGAAGCAGCAACACCAAAATCCTCTCCAAAAATGCATATATAAACAGCCAGCAAGCACTGAAACTGCCTATGCTTGATGGGAACTGCAAAATCATGCCCGGCTCTCTGAGCTCTTAAACTACTACTGTCAAATTAGGGCAACAGTTTTTCCCCACTAGAGAATTCACAGTAGTTAGGTACCCCCCCCCACATTGCCAGTCCTTTGCTTTTGAAATGAATAAATAACCTTGGACTTTTTCCCCTCCTCTGGGAGCTGTTTGGTCTCCCCTGAGGACAAAACTAAATGAGAAAAAATGACGCTGTTAATAATGCTGCTGCTGAAATGCCTGTACTTAACTGTTAAAAAGAAATCCCACCAAGTGTGTCTGCATCCCAGGCACACTTACAGACTACAACTCAATCTGAACAAGGACCAGGACAGAGGCTTCCATGAAGGTTCAACTGGTTACCTTTTCTCTGGAGATGAATCCAGATCAGCAAGAGATTCCCAACTTTGAAAACCATTTGCTCCCAGGCTACAGAGTCAGTAGCTGGCCGGCAAACTTTCCTATGATTTATTTTAAACTTTGAAAATGTCAGTGAGAGTTGCCTGGCTTGCTCCTCAACACTCTCCTGTAGTGTCCTTTCTGCCACTGTTAGGTATCACTCTTTTCAAAACAGCCTAACCTTTAAGATAAAAGCTTACATCCTTTTATTTATGTGCCAGTGGCTTTTGTTGCTCATCTCTGGGTGCTCCAGCTTGTAAAATGGATCCCTTTTCAAGCTCTGTCTAAAATAGTCCACTAGTCCTTACATTCTGTAGTGAGTACTGAAAGTGTGCTGCAGGCCATCTTAAACTTCTGCAGTCCTTTCTCTAGTTCTTTGAAAAGCTGCTGTTCTATTTCAAAATCAAAATAATGCCTAACAGGGGACTTATTTTAAGTTTCAAATTAAAATGTAAGAAGCAAAAAGAACACAAACAACTTGGCCTGTACAAAATAGATATTCAGAAAAATTATCTCTGAATGTATCTGAACCCCTTTAAAGAGCACAACAAGCTAATAAATTTCAAAGCAGTAAATATTGGCAAATTGTGTGATGCCAGAACTTCAAAACAATGTCACAGATGGGTGTGACATCACATTCACTCAAAATTATGCTGCTGCTTGGTCTGACCATATTAAAACTAAATGGATTCTTATGTCATCTAAGGAATAAAGGGAATTTATTCTGGACATCAAACAATGAATCTGTCACCATTTATTGTATGAAACACTCAGCTAATCAATTTCCTATTAAAATAGCTTTCAACAATAGTCGGCTTTTGAATTCATCAGGGCCAGTAAAAACCTTTTCCCAGTGCACAAGAATGCAGCCCCAACCACCATGATGATAATTACCATTCTAATACTTTTATTGCCCAAGCGCTCTTTCCTGTGCTCCTCATCACTAGCAGGAATCTGCAGTATATTGTATCAGTGAGCTGGAGTGCTTGACCTTTGCCCACATATGATTTAATAGGGACTTTTCAGCGCTGGAGCTCTCTCCATCTCTCATACCATTAAATGAAAACATTAAACCTCAAACGTAAAACTGGAAACCACAACGTTTTGCCTTTCACAAGGCTTTGTAGTTTTTCCTTAGGCTGCTCAAAGGTCAGCTTCTTAGGCTCACAAGGCAGTATAGTGAATATAGAAGCACTGGGAAGTCACCCACTAGGATTCTGATTAGATCTACTCTGCTGTCACATGCACACATGCACCCTACTTATTTACACGTGCGTTCTTTTCTAACCACAGAAGCATGCGAGTATGACTTTCTGGACTTATTCCATTTTAGGGCTGATTTAAATGTCTGTTCAAATATGGGTTCAAAAGTTAACTTTTTCCCGCCTGTTGGAAGTTAAACTTACAAAGGAGGCTGCTATAAGACCCGTTCAAAGAGTTAATCTTGTGTATTTTGGCGCCTTTTCCCTGCCAGCTACTGTACTTGAAGAGGGGAGATCTTGTCTGTCCCATCTCAAGTTCAATGGCAGTTCTTCCAACCAGGAAAAGAAGATGGCCATGTTCACAGACCTAATAATAATTCTGATCACGCCACCCCGGCATCGTGTGTCAAAGTCGATACTGGCTTCCCCGCCCCCTTCAACCTGATAAGTCCTCACCGCATTCAACCACAACTTAATGGATGGGATATTGTGCATTAAAATGTCTCCCAAACTCACTGGCGAAGAGACAAGGGAGAAGACAGACCCAGATAGGCAGAGGGGGACACTAGGGCACAAAGTGCGTGCTGGAATAGCGCGGGAGCAGGAAGAAATCCATCTTAACCCTTTCCTTTTTTTTTGGCTGGGGGGTGCTGCTGCTGGAAGGAGGGCTAACAATTTCTTGCTGAAACTTCAGAAATTCGGTGTTGGGGGAATGAACAAACTTTCGAATGAACACCGATGTTTAAAGCTCTAACGTAGCAATCTAAGAGTCTTTCGAAGTTAAAATGCATTCCAAATGAGCATACGCAACAAAGTAATTACCTTAAAATGAAGAAATGAAAGCTTTAAAAGCTTTAAGAAAAGGAGTGAGATATAGGGGTGAGTTATTTGTACTGTATTTTTTTTCCAATACTGAGGGGAGAGGGGGAAGAGTCAGCAGGAAAAAATACTGGATTCCGTAGTGTTTGGACTTAAGTTACTGATTCCCGCCATAAAAGTGTGTCGTATGTATTAAAGTTGCCAACGCTTTAAAAAATACATGTTTGCACTAGTTCTGAAAACCCAGCACTATAGTTCAAAATAAGACACTTAAGAAAGGGGTAAAACAGTCGCACAAACAGGAAATAAAGAGAATCTGTGCTTGGGGATGGAGGGGATGCAAAGAACAAGACAAGCAGATAAGACCCGTCATTTGAAAGTCACATACCATCGCAATGTATTGCGCTAAATAAGAGAGCCCTGGGCCGCTGACTTCGCGTGTCTCACGTAAAGACTGGATTTTCTCAAGGGCTGTTTGGTGTCTCTTTGGGGATTTTTGGGTCGGATTTTAAAAAGCAATCCGGGCGTAGTCTGATACTGTTTACGATTATTTCTGCACTGCCACGCTTCTTGGCCCGGGAACGAAAGCAGGTCAGAGTGGAGACTGGGAGCAGGCGGCCCTCGGCGTAGCTCCCCGGCTCTCCGTCCCCGCCCCTGCAGAAGGCTGCCTTGCCGGGCCTGGCGGGCCCGCCGTCCCGGGCGTGCGTGCGTGCGTGTTCCGTGGCCGCATTGTTTCGGGGGTCGCGCGCCCGCCCTCGCCGTGCTGGGATTGGCCTGGCGGGCTCTGGGGCCCCGGAACCGCCGCTCCGTGCCGCCCGCGGCC